GCTGCTGCTGCCACCACCACCACCATTTCCCCACTTTCCTGCCTGCCACCACCACTTCTCCCCAAACCCCTGCCCACCTGCCAGCTGCTCTGGCACCATGTGGTTGCCAACTGCATCACTGGGACCACAGGAGGCAGCAGGAGCTGGCCCGGCCCAGCCCCAAGGACAGAGGTGATTGCCAGTGGTCCTTCCCTCCCCCCACATTATTATCCGAGTTGCACTCCCAGAGGGAAGGAGTCAAGGAACGGCTCCAGGGCCACCAGGCCAGAAGCCTCTGCTAAGCAGAGACTTCCAACTGAGGGCTGGGGGTGGTGGTGGGGAAACGCGGTGAGGCTGGGCAGGCCTTGCTGCTGCAGCTGCTAGGTCCTGCTGCTGGCTCCTCCTGGGTCCTGCTGCCACTGGTGCCTTGTCACCTTTGACAGGCTGCCAGGGGCAGATAATAATTAATTTGCTAAATTTTTTAGGGACCCTGCAGGCCAGATAGAATGGCTTGGTGGACTGGATCTGGCCCGCAGGCCATATTTTGCCCACCTCTGAATTACTCTTTAAAGAACCACTCTGACTGCCTTCTGTCTTACAATATGAAGAAGAAAATGACAGGGTGGTCTGATACGTGAAAGCACTAAGGAAGGAATGGGGTCAGGGGAGGTTATTGCTGCAAGATATAGTCCTGCAATAAGATGAGTGTCACAGCGGGGACCTGCAGGAGGGCCGTGATCTCCTTACGGCCCCCCTCACCGTGCCAAGTCGGCCCAAGTTGGGCTCCCCTGGAATGTCGCCCCTCCCTGGGGGTCTTCTCTGTAATGTTGCCCCCTGTCTGGGGCCTTTGCAATAGGGCCCCCTCCTGGGGCTCTCCCTGCAATGTTGCCCGCACTCAGGCTTCTCAAATACAGCCCCCCATCTGGGGCTCTCTGCGCCCACTCTGGGGACTTCCCGGCAATGCCCCCTGACTCTCGGGCCCACCACGTTGCTCCCCCCTTCTCTCAGGGCTCACCGTGCCACTACCCCCTCTCACCGGGGCAACCGCAGCTCTACCCTGCTCCGGGGTTGTCACAGCACTAGCCCTTCTTCAGAGGCTCACCGTGCCCGCACTGGGCCTCCTAATAATATTGCCCTCTCTCTAGGGCTTGCCATGCCCCTACAGGGCTTCCTAATAACACTGCCCCCTTTCTGGGGCTTGCTGTGCCCGTCCTGGGCTTCCTAATAATGTGGCCCCCTCTCTGGGGTTTGTCATGCCCGCGCTGGGGCATCTCAAAGCTGCCCCTCTCTGGGGCTGGTGTCTATGTACCCCGCACACAACCCGGGGTCTATGTTCCCCGCCCGCAACCCACTGGCTGCGCTCCTCACTGCAAGCTGAGCCTTCACTGGTGCTGCGCCTTCACTGGCGCTGGGGTTCCCATACCACTGGGGTTCCCCCTGCAAATACTGCACCCTCCTGGCGCTAGGGTCCCACCCCCTGTGGGTCCCTATGAGAACACTGCACCCTCCTCAGGCGCTGGGGCCCCCACACTCCCGTGGGGCCCTTTATGAGGTTCAGCCACTCCTCTCTGAGCTTAACTGACACCACGACTCTGCCCTGCAACTCTCAGGGCCTAGTGCGCCCTCACTGGCGCCGGGGTCCTCACTTTATCATGAGCCCGCTATGAGGCCTCCTCCAACCCCTACAGCCTTGCCCAAACCACCGGTGTAATATCAAAGCCTGAACAGAAGCTCAAGCCTCCTGGCTATAACTTAAACACATGCTCTCTGGCTGTAACAACTTAACTCCAAGCCACCTGGCTAAACCATGGTGCCCAAACCTCCCAGAGCTGCCATCCTTCTCTCAGCTAGAGCAGTTCCTGCATTGCTCACCTCCTAGCTCCTGCCCCTCTGGCTGCTGGCAGGGAACTGCCAGTCTGGCCTCAGCCCTGGGCTTTATCAGGGCCAGGCCCTGCCTCCTACAGGCAGCTGGCTCGCCTTAGTTGCCCCGGCAACCCGCAGCTGTGCTCGTTATGTTCTGCCAGGGCTCTCTCTCCCTGGCAGTTTCTACTCCCTAGGAGCAGAGCACTGAGGTGCCCTGTGACAATGAGCCAATTTGGTTTTTAATAGGTTGTTCATTACTCACTCTTGCTAGACATAGCCACTACTCTTCAGTGCCATAGCACCTATTTTACTGGTGTAATCTGATTACCATATTCAAGTTAAAGATGGGCCCAAGTAAAATTGTAATGCCAGAGCAAATCCAAGTTTTAAAAAAGTTCAGGGTCAGATCCAAATTTTCAGCCCTATGTCTAATGAAGAATGATTTTTCTTTCCTGATGACCCAATATGTTGCTGTTTACATCTAAATAAAAATGTGGCAAGACCTTTAAATTAATGATCTAAACTATACTGATGAAAAACATGTTTTGTGGGGGAAAGGGCCTTCTACTGACACTGGAATGATAAGCCTGTAAGCAATGCTCATTCTGGTCACATCCAAATAAGCGTGGCTGTACAGTTTGTGGTGCTGTAGACATGTCTGCGGTGCCACATACTGCACATTCAGCTGTTTTCTGTGCTGCAAGGGGGCAGCACAGGGTTGGGTTTTTTTGGACCCCCTGGATATCCGGGGGGGCAACCCCCCCCCCAAAAAACCCCAAAACCAAAAAGACCCCCCCACAAAAAAAGGAGAGTGGTGCATTTGGTGACAGTGTGTGCTACTCAAAACCAGAGAGTCTGGCCAGCCAGAGCCACATTCCAGCTGCTGGCTAAGCTCCAACAGCAGGATTGCAGCTGCTGCTGCAGCCCCAGGAGACCCCAGGACCCCAGATAAGGCTGCTGGGACCAGCCCAGTGCTAACTCCAGCCTCCCCTACCCCACCTGGGATAACTTGCTATGCACCACAGGGAGCATGGCACAGGTGCTCTCCAGGGACAACTAGCAGCAGCACAAGGTATCCTGCTGCTAGTCGTTCCTGGCGAACCAAATGTCTATGCTCATGTGGACATGGCCTCTGTGGATAAATTTAGGATAGATAAACTGGCCTCAATTTGATGTACACTATAGATATCTGAAGATGTAGCTGTCCCACTACAGGAATCCCAAGGAGAGAAGCAACAACTATTTAGTATTATTGGAAGAATAAGCTATTGTTTGAAAAAGCAGTGTATTTCATCTTTATTTCCCATGGAATAGAATGGTTTAATCGAAATGCAGTAAGTCTAACAGAATTATCAGTAAGTAACAAATGATAAACCTACATGGCTTACTTTTCAAAACAAGCAAACAAACAAGCCCAAATCCTAAGTGTCCATACTGAATTTATTATAAGCCAATACTTTATTTTTCCTCTAGAATGGAGGAAATTGGACATGAAAGCTCTCTAAAAATACATGAGGCTTTATTGACACAAGTGAATGGAATTGTTTCTTCCTATACGGTACTTACACACTTGTGGAGAGCCTGCTCTGATGTGGTGGGCAAATCCAGTGAGTTGGAGTATACTCTAGTAATCGAGTGTGTTGGAGCACAGAAAGTGACATGCTCTAGCAGCCTCACGCATCACACGCATCAGCGGCGCAGCGCATCTCCGTGCTGAGAAAATGGTAGTGATGTGCTTTGAAATAAAACATATTCAATGTGCTTTAGTTCAAAGCGCCCCACTGCCATTTTCTCAGTGGGGGGACACACTGTGTTGCTGATACACATGATACACGGGCACTTTCAATTAGCACAGTTCCCTAATTAAAAGCGTCTGGTGCCACATCAGAAGCACATGTAAAATGCCCGAATTAAAATGTCTTTATATCATGCTTTACAGATATTTCTTTCTTCCCTGAATAGAGACTTTTGTTTATAAATATAAACTGAAACTACTAAAAATAAGTATCATTACAACATAACAAATCCTGTACCATGTCTTTGCAGAATTGGAAACTGTTATAACCAGGCATATCTTGCAAAATTATTAACTGTTTAAAACTTCCCAATTTCATATAGTAACTTTGGAAATGTCTGCCCTTATTCAAAATGGCCATGGTCTCCCATTATCTTTAAGTGATAAGCCAGCCTGCTCATATTTAACAAGTCCAACCTAATCTTTACTATAAGAACCAGGCAGGAGGGAAGTGAGACAATGAGGCAATAAAATAATGTGGGAGGAGGTTGGGAAACAGAGCCTGAGAGGATGTCAATATAGTCTTCTTGGGAAACCAGAATCAAGTCATACACGTGGATGCTCTTCAAAAGCTTTCATTTTCCCTCCACTTGGCCATGACTAATCTTTTGCTATGAACAATCCCATCGTCTGTGAAGTTTACCAATTCTTATGAATGCCAACATTTGTACCATTAGACAATGACCCTATAGAAACATCTGTATCTCTTACATGGACATCTGGTGTACCAGTAATTTTGGTAGCTTTCAAGATGCTGGTATACCAAAGACTTCACAGACCCAATAATCTGAAGGGAAAAAAAATGCAAATTTTTAACATGCATTGCCACAAACCCACTGGCTTTCTTTTTCTGTAGCAAAATAAATGAAACATTTCCAACCTTTTTTAAACAGTACTGAATGCTGCCAATAATTAAGAAAATATGTTAAGAAATAATAATAAGTAAAGAGAGAAAGAATGGCTTAGGTAATTGAAACTATAGAGAGAACTGCAGAGGAAAATTAGAGAGAAACTTTAAAAGAACCACTGAAGGTTGGCCTTATCCATATTCTAGCGAAAATAAACTTTCAAAATAGTATGGTACAGTCTTAGAAACTATGACAATCCTCAAACACCTTGGCATGGAAGAAGTTAATACTCTGCAAAGTGTGACAGCTATTTCCAGTATCAAAGTTAGCTCATAATGAGGAACAGACTGTATTGTTAAGCTGACTATTGTGCAAGAGAAAGTGGGATAGCAATGTGTCAGAAGCTTTAAAACTGGGTTAAAGCCTAGTAATAATTAACACTAGTTTAATTTTTAAATTGTTAGTTGTGTGAGAAGTTAAGATTTAAACTACTGCTGAGATATGTTCCTGCTTCTCCAGGGTGGAAAACATGTCAGCTTCCCAAAACAGCTAAATATAAATCTCACTGCACTGAGAGACGATTGTACCAGCAGAATTATCAGGAGGCATCTAGCACACGTTATCCAGACACAGACCCTTTGCCAGTTACAGTAAGTGAAAGTTGAAGGTATTTTAAATCCAAAGTCTGCAGTGTTTTGCATGGATATGAACTATTGTTCCTCTGTCAGATTTCAGGGTTTGCCAGTTGTCCTCAATATATGCTGATTCAAATAAATATTGCCTTGTATAGCTAATACAATTTCTTAAACACAAATATAGACACATATTCTAAGCCAGAAGAGGCAATAAAATATCATTACAAAAGAAAGTCTCTTATAGTTTCATAGTAGCTAGGGTCAGGAGGGACCTGAACAGATCATCTAGCCTGACCACCTGCCACAGGCAGGAATGAATGCTGGGGTCACAAGACCGCAGACAGGTGATCATCCAACCTCCTCTTGAATTTGCCCAAGGTAGGGGTGA